GCACTAGCCTTGAACCCGAGACCTGCCAGTCAGGAACGCAGCACTCTAACCACGGCGCTACCAGGTTGCTATGCACGCCACTAACCTAGCGCCAAACTTCAATAGCCACCCATCTTGCTTGATGCTGGACAAATAATAACTTCGGCGATGGGGTGAGCGCTGTGCGTAGCAACCAAGTAGCGCAGTGGTTAGAGTGCTGCGTTCCTGACTGGCAGGTCTCGGGTTCGAGACAAGTACCAGAACCATATTTTTTGGCAGAGGCAACCGACTTCTTGACGAGGTTTATTCGGAGAGGATTGAGTACCAGCGCTGGCAAGGCGGGTGTCATGGCGTCCCGGTGGGTCAGCGGTTAAGAGCATGATGTGGGAAGCGGCAGGTCCCGGGTTCGGGACCGGTAGTATACACACTTTTTTCGGCGACCAATTGCTTGGGGAGGTATATCCAGAGAAGATTGAGTACCAGCGCAGGCAGGGCGGGTGCCATGGCGTCCCGGTGGCTCAGCGGTTACGAGCACGTTGTGGGAAGTGACAGGTCCCGGGTTCGGGACCGGTAGTATACACAATTTTTTCGGCGACCAATTGCTTGGGGAGGTATATCCAGAGAAGATTGAGTACCAGCGCAGGCAGGGCGGGTGCCATGGCGTCCCGGTGGCTCAGTGGTTAAGAGCATGATGTGGGAAGCAGCAGGTCCCGGGTTCGGGACCGGTAGTGTACACAATTTTTTCGGCGACCAATTGCTTGGGGAGGTATATCCAGAGAAGATTGAGTACCAGCGCAGGCAGGGCGGGTGCCATGGCGTCCCGGTGGCTCAGTGGTTAAGAGCATGATGTGGGAAGCAGCAGGTCCCGGGTTCGAGACCGCTCAAAGTACCATTTTTTCGGGACCAGATTTCTCGAACGGCAGCTCAAGAGGAGTTGCGACATCGCCGCCGACAAGCTGGTTCGGTGGCTGAGCGGTCAGGGTAGAGGAGTTGACTAGACTCGGCACTCGGGGTCGCGGGTTCAAATACCCAATGTGACCCCTCTGAGGTAAGGCCTCTGAATCTGGACTCTCACTGTACCACAGAAACCGCGCGCACTTCGGGTGGGCCAGCCTAATACGAACCCACTAATCTGTCGAATTGCGCGGCAGGGAGCGTCGGATGAAGGCCCGGTTCCCATAAGAACACCGAAGCTGATCGGCGGGTCTCCTTGAGACTTTCGTATTGCCACTTTTTGCCGCCGATTTTTTCGTTTTTTTGTTGAATATTTTTATTTAATTTTTTTATTAGGTAGGCGAACTATAGGTAGGCGAAAAATGGCAATATTTTATTGAATATTTTTATTCAATATTTTTATTAGGTAGGCGAAATATAGGTAGGCGAAATAGACAGGTAGGCGAACATTTAGGTAGGAGAAATGAACAACTCCCCTTTTTTCCCAGTCGTGCTTTATTTTTCAATTATTGAAATTTGAGTAGGCACGGCCGCAGACGCTGGTCTTGTCCGGACACTGAGCATGCGCCTGGCTCGGCCTGGCTGATCAGCCCGTTTTTGTTTTGCTCCGGGACTTGCATGTATTTCAATGCTTGCCTGCCCTGCCTGCCCCGCCGGGGCTGGCCACCCCGCCGGGCCGCCGGCCGCGTCCGAGACTGCTGCATCGCTGCAACGCGCTGCGCTCGTGGCGCCCCCTGCCGAACGCGATTCGAAGAAGGCCGCGACCGCAGAGCCGCCGTCTATCCGTTTCACGAGAACCGCCTTGGTTTATATCGGAAACGATAGGCCAGAGCCACGAGCCACGGGACCCATTTGACAGACGGGTTTAGGTTGGCAAGTGTGGCGGCCCAAACGCAACAAGTGTGCCTGAGTTGGCAGCACTGGCGTGACGCACCCGACAGGCTGGCCATGCAGTGGTATGTAACTGATGCGGGCCCCGGCCGATAATTTTGACGGGACAAACCCATGCACGCTAACGAGGGGGACGGGGAGGCTCCAGAGGTGTGCGTATAAAGCTCATCTTTTCATTTATTTGCGTCAGGACCGTCAGGACCGTGAGGGCGAGAGGGGTCAGGGGCCACCCGGACCGACTTTATTCGCAGGGCGAGGAGGCGAGGCGTTATTTGCACGACGCTCCAAATAATGTTCTCGCATTCCTCCTCCGAACCAGGAAAGGCCGACAGTGATGCGACTCGCGCACTAGTGGACCGTAAACTTGGTGCTGGACAGGAAAGGGGAAAATGTCCGCGAGATGTCCGCGGCCTTGGGGGACTCTCCGAGGTCGTATTTAGGTGGCACCGCGGGCAGCCCCCCGCCGGGCGGCCAGACGCAGCAGCCCCACCGCAAAACGACAACAAAGTCAAATAGGGCTGCAGTGCAGTTCATGTCTCACGTCCATAACACGTCCTTGGGCCGCGCCGTCCGTCGGTCCGCCCGGCCGTCAGTCGGAGAGGGCGGCGCAGCGGCGCAGGCCTGGCCGGCCCTGGACGGCCCTTGCAGACGTGACGTCAGCATGCAATGTAGAGCTGCCAACCGGCGCAAAAAAACAGACCTAAGCGCACGAAAAATATTCGTGTTTCTGTGCGGGATTCCAGGGAAACGAACTGACGGCGTTGCCGAGACCAATCTAACAGCGCAGACCCACGGCTTCCTAAAGACGCGAAAGTAAATAAAAATAATTAAATTGGAACCCACGATGCTCGCAATTAGTTTGCAGAACACAGACAGCGACCGGGGTGTCACGGGCCTTCAAGGATCGCCGGACCGAGCGGCCCCTCCGTCTCCCAGTCTCTCACCCACCGCCTGTCAGACTCTCAAATCACCCTCCAGTCAAATTACCAAGCCAAATAGCCCATCATCCAGATTAAACATGTGTCTTCCTTCCAGCCCGGTGTTACTGTTTCGGTACGTAAATTCTTTCCGTTTTATCTCCCGTGAATTTATTTCCTGCTTGAAAGGAGAGAAAGAGACGATCGAAACGGGAGCACGCGGCGACTTGTTTTTAGGTTATGTCGGCCGCTAAAACTTTCCTCGGAGGCTTGGAAATGCGCGCGTTGTTTATCAGGAATTTATTTGGTCTGGCTTTGCTTCGCTTTGCTTCGCTTCGGCTGTCCGGACTCCCGAACGGACGGGGTGACAATGCGCGAGTTACTGCGCCAGTCCCAGACGTGTAAACACGTTTATATTCATTCAGCGTGATAAGGGGCGCAGGCGGCCACGCCGCGGCGCCGCGGCCGCGCCGCCGATTGCACTCCTTAATTGCATCCTCAATAATAACAACAGCCTGTTCGTTACCCAGCAACAATAACTAAAGTCTGTCTAATGGGCGTCGCATAGGCCAGGCCATGGCCAGGCCGGTATCAAAGGCCGTCCCGCCCAATCAGGGACACTCCTTTTATTATGAGAATTATTCGCATCGACGTTCCGCGGATGTAAAGAGGGATAATATTATCGCGTCCGAGTGATGAATAGCGCCGAGCGGCACCGGGGGTACCAACCGTACCAACCCAGCAGCGCGCGCACCACGGGGCTCCGACAGGGCTACCAACCGAGCACCATTCATCATCACCAGCGCCAGCCAGCGCTGTGACAAAGTGTAATTTTTCGCGCAGCCCGACCTAAAGACGTCGTAGGGTAATCCCTGGTCGTCCGCGCCACGCGGCTCCGGGCGGAAAGGGGAGATTACGCTGCGGAGGCGTGCGTGCTGCGTACGTGTCGTCTGCGCCACGCCGCGTTGCCCGTCTGCATTGTCTTGTCCGACACGCGGCCAGGCCGGGGCCGCGCCGCGCCGCGCCGGGGCTCCAGGATGGATGCGTTCGCGACCGGGTACAGGTGCATCGTCTGGAAGAATGCAGGCCGGCGGGCGGGCGAGTGAATAAACCACACAACCCGGCCGGTACTCGAACCCAGGGCGAGATGGGATGGAAAGAGAACGACCCGGCGGATATCTGGCTGCCTGGTAACGAGTGCCCCGGGGCCAGGCGGCCAGGCGGTGGCCAGGGCAGTGCGTATGATTCAACCCCCTTAATGGCGGCGATAAGCGCAAACGTTATTCCCTGCCAATAACGAAAAGTCACCACACCCCGCGGCGCGCTGCCGGGCTCCCTGCGAATACCGGCGGTGAGTAAGACCCGCTCGCGGGAGGTCCGCCCGCCGCACCGCCGCGCCGTGAGCATGATGCCGAGACTCGGCCGAGACGCCGTGACGTGGGCGTGCGTGCTTGCGTGCGTGTGTGAAAACGCCTGTAAGCCCATCGGCCGTTATCGCTTTGCATTTTTCCGGGTGCCGCGCGGCCTGGCCGTGGCGGCCGCGTCTATCGGTCGTCCGGCGGGACTTAGGCGGGACACTCCGTGGCGCCGCGCCACGCCGCGCCACGCCGCGCTTTCGGCGATACGCGCAATCGACGCGCCGCGGGGGTGAATATTTTGGTTGGGCGCGGAGTGACCCGGCGATACTCCGGTGACGTGTGCGGCGTACCGTTTTCCACCAAAAAACTTCTTTGTGATTTTTTTCGCTGTGCGCTGAATGAGGATGAGCCAAAGGGAATGTGCAGGGCGAAGGAGTTCGAAAAGAGGAGAGGGGGGGGGGGCGTCTGCCGAAGGACATTCGAGTCCTGCTCGGCGCGCCGTCCCGAACAGTACGCGAATCACTCGGGCGTCTTCGGGAAGGTGAAGGAACACGAAGACAGAGGAAAGGAAACAACGAAGTACAGTCGTAAGTCCGGGGGCCGGAGGCGGGGAAAGGGGGTGCGGGGCGGGGAGGCCGCCTTGCTCCGGTTGATGAGAACGAAAAAAGGGGAGGGGAGGGGTGCAGGCAGGAACCAGACGGGTCTGCGAGGGTCTTCGGGGGGCTCCGGGCGGAGGGGGCGGGCGGGGGGCGGCCCCGGAGTCTCCGGCGCGGCCGGCACCACGGCCGGCACCACGGCCAGCACGGCGCGCGGAGGGGCGGGCAGGGGCTGATGACCGCCAGGGTACGGCCGGGCCGGGGTAGTGGGGGCCCGGGCCGGCCCGCCGTTTCTGCACACTTAAAACCTTGGCGGTTGGCCGTGACATTGGCTAATCCCGTCCCTGAGTCCGCGCCGTCCGCTCCTCTCGTGCGCGCTCGTGTGTCCTTCGAGTCGAGGGGGTTGAGGTTCAAGAAGCAGCCGGAAGACCACCGCCAGCATGAGGACGACGTGGGTCGCGGCCGTCGTGGCCGCGCTAGTCATCGCCAGCGTGAGCGCCGAGAAGAAGGTCGTGAGGATATCCAAGAGGCCGTACCAGGGTGAGTACCGAGCGCCGTGCCGGGGTGGCCGTCGACGCCTACGTGGTCAAGTAGGACCTATCCGCCAATCGTGTGTTCGGGATCATGCTCTCCGCGACGAGCCCCCGCATCATGTCGCGTGAACTCTGGATTTCGCTCCGTCTGCAGCTCTGCGCTGTGAAGCAGCCGAGCCCCAGTCGCGCTGTCTAGCGATGTCTAGAGCTGCGAGGGCTGTGCGGGGCGGTTCCCTTGGCGGTTCCCTGGGCGGTCCCCCGCGGCGCCTGCACTGGCCGCTGCCCCGCGATCTTGATTCAATCCCCGGCGAATAATTATTCGCGCCGGACGGCTGTCGCCGGGGCCGATAGCGCTACATGCATTCGTCATTTGCACCGGAATGAGTTGATAACCTGCGACGCGCTCTCGTGTTTACTTTTCGCCCAGAGGAAAAACTGACAAGATTGATCGCGTTATTTATTATGCACCATTCCGCCGCGTCCATTTTTTTTCTCCGTCCGTCCGTCCGGGACGCGGGTCGTGCGAAATGCACCCGACGCCTCGTGCATCTGTATGCGGCTCTGCCTCGGCTCTGCCTTGGCTCTGCTGCACCGCCCGCCGATACGCCGTCCGCCCCGGGCTGGGCCGCACGTCCGAGCTTAATGCCATTTCGGCGTGTGTATTTACTTTCGGGAGAGATGCACGCGCTGGACGTGCGTGTGCTGCGTGCGGCCAAGCGGCGGTCCGCGCGCCGAGGGTGGCAATTGGAGATCTGGCGATAGATTGGCACGAGTGCGGATTGGCTCGCCTCGGCGTGTTTTCGCATTCCCTCGGTGACCCTCTCCGCGGCACGGCGTCCCCAGAGCCCAGTCCCCCGGGGTCCGTCCCCAGAGAGGTCCCCGGAGAGGTCCCCGCGCGGTGGTCAGCGAAGTCGACCGAGTTCAATGACTCTGCCGCGTATCTGGGTGGGGCGCGGTGGCCGGCAGCTTCCCTTGCCTTTCCGTGGAGCCTCGAGCCCCTTGGCCGCCGTGCCCCGACACGGTGCCCCGTGTCCGGGAGGCCGAATTTATTGTGTAAAGGCGCGGTGACCGGCCGAGCCCCGAGCCGGGTGGACACCCTCCATAATGATGAGAAATTGTTGCTGCGTCCGCGTCACTCGGCCGGCCCGTCAGCCCAGCGGGAAGGGTTCGCCAGGCGGAGGCTCGCGTCCCTGTCGGCAGAGCGTCTCGCACACGGTGGGCCAGTCCTTGGCCGGGCCTTGGCCGGGCCTTGGACACGCTGCCGCCGAGGGCGAGGCCGGGCGAGGCGAGGCCATTGGCGGCACCGGGCGTCGCTCTAATTTGGGCGTCACGACGCTCGATAAAACCTGTTGCGGCGATCGCGACCAGGCTTCGTCTGCCGGCTCAATTAGGATCGGGCCGCGCTGCTCGCGCTGCTCGCGGACGACAACCTCGACGACCTCGGCGCGGGGTTCGCATGCGACACGCCGCCCACGACACGCTAACGGAACGCGCCACGGCGCCAAAATATAAAAATCCAAACGCGGGCTGCTGCGGCAGCACGTCGTGTGCCCTGTCACTCAGCGGCAGGGACGGCCGGCCGGCCGGACCAACCGGCCCGAACAAGGCGCTGTGTCTTAACGGAACGCACCTCTCCAAATTCATGGCCTTTCTCAAGCGTGTCGGCGTTGCTAGTGAACGTCGAGCTGGTTTGGGCGAATGTGTGCGTGTGCGTGTGCCGGTCGTATCAGTTATGGGGCGGGTAAGGAATGACCACTGTTTTGCAGCCCGTCGAGATTAAGGCTCCCCACTCGGGCGGGACTCGTCGGAATTTCGCTGACAATGAGAAATAATATGCAGGCAGGTTGAACGGCCTCTGCAAGATGCCCGGACGTTCTCCGAGGCGGCAGCGCGCCACAACGGCGTTCTCTTTATTCCGTCGCCCTAACGGACCGTCGCATCGGGGGAGGAAGGGCGACACCTCTGCTTTGGTAACTCAATATTCCGGGCGTTTGTTTTACGCGCTCCCCGTCAAGTGCTCCTTTATCACTTTATTTTATTTTGACACCATCTATCAGCAGTAAAATTTCTTTATACGGTCGCCTTTATGGCGGCACACATCGGCGAGGTCTAGCGGCGGGCGCGATTCCCGGGTTGTCGCCCCGTCTCTGCAAACACAGGCGATCCGCTGCACCGGTCCCGTCCGGCCGCGTCGCGTCGTCGGCTTCGCGGTAGTGGCGTCCCCGTCTCCCCTCCCACGGACACCTTCCCTAAAACACCTCGCCGGCAGGGTTGTAAAAGCCAGACGTGCCCCCGCCAGGCCGCCAGGCCGCTCCTCCCCGCGGCCCTCGCGTTTGCTTTGCGCGACTGTATATCGGTCCACTTAGACACGCGTTAATCGGCGCGGCGCGCGCGGCAGGACGAAGCGGACGAAGCGCACTGAGTGCTCCAGATCGGTTTGGCAGAGTCCGCCATTGCCATTCCAACTTCCCGCCCACCAGCGGCAATAATACAGCGGGGAAGCGGGTCAGCCAGCCAGCCTCCCCACTCGCAGCACGTGCTCCACTTGGCCGAGGCCGCTGACCCCACCGCCTTTTGGCCATGCAGTGTGCAATTTGGCGGTGACGAAAAGCGGCGTCGTTTCGGCCGTTTCGGCGATGCAGGCCGATGACGAGGACGGCCGCGGGGCGTGATTAGAGCTTGGTCGCGCTGTCTCTCTCTCTCGCGTCCCCGCGGTGCCGCCCCACGAGTGCGAGAGAGACAGAGTGGCGCACACTGTTCGGAATCAGTCGGCAGGAGGTCGTCGGGAGGCTCATGGACGCCGTCGGGCCGAGGACCCGGGGCCGAAAGATGCCATAAACCGTCAACAAAAACAACAACAAAATTGGCGCGACAAGGCAGCAAAAAAAAATGGAAGAGGACAGCACTGCTTTCGCTGGGCCACACAAACCAGATATTTGGGTGCGTGTTTTTTCCGGTTCGTGCTCCACTTCCTGTAAATCGCGACACCTTTCTACGAATCCTGCCCCGCCTGGCCTCCGCGCGTGGCTCGCGGAGATTTCGCACGTTTGCACGTGTCTCGATCGAGACTGCTGGTCAGGTGCGGATAAAGCCTTTACAGCAATTTTCTGGGAACGGCACCTGCTCCCCGGGTTGTAACAACAAAGTGAGCAAAAAGGGGACCTGCGAAAATCGACAGGTCCCTTCGCTCGCAGTCATTTTTATTTCCCTTCTTTTTGCGAGTCCTTTCTCCGCGCTGGTCCAGTGCGCCGATTCCTTTGTTGCCCGGGTCCCCGTTTTGGTCGCACTGGCTGGAGCCAAATGTTCGTCGGCGGCGTGCCAAGTGAGGCGGGCGGGGCGGGGCGGGGTGGGGTGGGCGGCCCGTTTTCGCGGTCGAGGCCATGCAGCTGGGCCAGATTCGCGATGCATCCCTGCATAGCGGCCCGGCCCGCCCCCCAAAAACAACAACAAGTAACAAAAGCAAACATGCCCCGTGACGCACGCAGGCGGCCGCCGCGCCGCCCGGACCGCATTCTTGCAGCCCGTCTCGCTTTTTTTCGGCGGGGGCGAAGCGGGCGGAGCGCATTTCGGGCGTTTCGGCGCGACGGCTTCATCGCGGTGCTGCCGATCACCACGCCGGGCTACGAGGATGCGAGGGCGTGCTGCAGTGCTGGCTGTCGCCTCCGTGTAATCCTTGGGCCGACAGCCGCCGCCCTGGCCGCCGCCTTCCTCTCCACGCCGCTGCCGAGCGGTTCCGCGCAAGGCGTTCCGTCGCTCTGCCTCTCTCTCTGTAGGGCGTCCCCACGAGTGCGAGAGAGAGGAAGAGTGGCGAAACTGCGGCCAGTAATCGGCCCGCTCGCTGGAACGCGGTTTTAATTGGCGCCGCATCGGAGAGGGTCGTCCTGGACTCTAGTCCCGGTGAGTCGTCGATAGAATCGACGAGTGTCAGTCCGGAGCTTCTGGCGGGGCCGCCGCGGGGCAGCACGAGTAGTGTCTGATTCCCTACGACAGATTAGCGATTGAGATGGAACGGCGTGGAGGCAAACTACACGGCCGCGGCGCCTTGATGCGCGTGCTGGCTGCCGGCAGCCAAGCTGGCAGCCTGGCTGGCAGCCCTGGCGGGGCGGCTGGGTGCGGCAGGCACCAAGCAGGGTGAACGGCACGGGCCTTCCCTTGGTTCGCGTTCCCTACAACGCAGCACGCCGTACTCCAACACGACTTTTTCTCAAGGGGTTGTTCTCGGTTTCGGCGGCTGGGCAATCCTCTCCACTCCAACCCGACTCCTGGATCCTTCTGTAACTTTTCGGTTGCTTGCTGCTGCCAACAAATCAGACCTCAAAGCCCATTCCCGCTCGACTCGGCAGTGTGCTAGTTCGGCACCGTGGGCGGACCCACCATTGGCCCACCACGGCCCGCCCGGCCCGCTACGGCCAAACGACCGCCGCGTCGCCTGAGAATTATCATGAGGCGCCCTCTGGGCCAACGATCCCGAAGTCTCCTACGCGAAATATTAAAATATTCAATGATTCGTGTTTGAGTCATCGGTCACGTACCAGTTGGCCAACCGGGGGCGTGGTGCCGCCGCGCCTAGCCGGCCCGGCCGCCCCGCCGCAGGCTGCTCTCTATCTCTCTATTACACTGTCTGGATGTGTGCACTCCGCACCGCATCACCGCCGACTGGCGGGCTCGCTGTCAAGCGGACGCATTCTTACATTCTTGCGGTGCGCGAAGTCGCCGCCAGTGTGCGCCGCCAGAGCGCGCCGCTTGCCCCGTGACGTCTGCTAGACACGGTGTCCTCTTACTCGGCTTGTCAACACGACGCCGTGCCGCGCCGCGCCTCGCGTATTAACATCCACATTAGGCCGTGTCCAACATCTCATATGAGTCGCCTAGCCGACTGCCAACCGCGGCCCGCGCCCGGCGCGGCGGCACGGCGGCGGGCGCAGCCAAAAGTGAGGGACGACTCTGAAAGAATACGATTTGTACTCTTTTGCGTTGGTGCACGGACTGCGCGCGGCTCGCTGGGAAGGCGAAGCTGGTCGGCATGATGAATACGGTCCCTAGGCGGCCCTGGCCAAGGCCCTGGCCGGCCGGGACGCGGGGCGGGGCGGCGCGGGGCCCCTGGATGCACCGCGGTTTATTTTGTTTGAACGGACACGGCTCGGCTCCGCCTGCCTCTGCCGGGCTTCCCTCGACCTGCCTCGGCTTATGCTTTATCTGCCGCTCCTTTTGCGTGAGGGCCGAAGTGTGTTCGGCGCGCCGCGCTGCCCCGTCCACTCCGTCCACTCCGCGAGCACGCCCGCCAGTGCGTGTTCATTCCTCACTGTTCGATCGCGGGGAATGCCTGCCTGCCTGCCTGCCCGGCTGTCCGGCTGTGCGTAGTAAGGGTGTGGTGTCAATGCGCCATGATAGGCAAGGCCCCGGACTCGAACGGACGGGGGTACACAGAGACACGGGCAGGAAAAAGGCGAAAACGTATCTTGTGCGCCGTGTCTCAGCCTCGGCGGCTCGATTGTTTGGCCGCGAACACGTACTTCGTATACTTGGAGCAAGTTTCCGAGGATTTACCGCGACCGGCACGACTATTTGTCTGACGAGGCACTTGGAACACGTCCGGTCCCGCCGCCGCCGCCACCGCCGCGAACCGGCCTTCGTTTCGTTGCTTCGCGGACTTCTTTCAAGTCGCCGAGGCTCTGCGAAGCACTGCAAAGCTCGGGGCTCGCGGCCGAAAAGCAGTCTCCATGATCGATCGCACGGCTGGCGGTGCGTCGCGCCAAACTAGAAGCAGATCGCCAAAGCGGCCGATGAGTGGCTGACGCTGGCTGACGCTTGTCGTCGTTTGACGAATGGCGGCGTCTTCGTTCCGCGCACGCCCGTCGACGCGGTGGTCGTGGGGGCGGCCGGCTCCAGGATCGTCTCAGATTCCCCCTCACGATAATGAATTTCGGGCCGCTCCGGAGGCAGGCCAAGGCAGGCCTGGAGGCAGACAGCCGACGCAGCGGGGAGGGGCCGCGCCGGGCCGGGCAGCGCCGTGACCAGCATGGCGGCGCGGCCGGCCAGACCACACCCAGGCCGACCCCGCACCGCGCGCCGCCAAACTGATCTAAGTGAATGTAATGAGTTCCCCGCGAGATTCACGGCGTACTTGTTGTTGTTTCTGAGCATTTGGCACGCCGCGTTCCTGCTGCAGTCACTCGGGCAGTTCGTTCTGGCCGCGTCCCGACTGGATCCCGGTGCGAACGCCTGCGGCCGGCGGCGTAGGCCGTGCTGCACGACGGGGGTGTTCGGCGGGTCGGCCTGCCCGCCAGGCGCTCCAGCCGCCCGACGGGTAGGCAATGCCGCCACACTGCTGCGCTCGGCGGGTCGGCCTGCCCGCCAGGCGCTCCCCCCGCCTTGCCTGGCAGCCCCAGTTCCCCGCCGCCGCCAAGACCGCCGAGCGCGTGAACGGCATGTGATTGCGCGCGCCGTATCAAGATCCTGGCAGACGCGCGGCGCGCACGTAGCATGCAAACTTGTTCGCGTTCCTCGGCGTGATGGCTCGACGCGGCGCTCCATTGTTGCTGGCCGCCTGCCTTTCCGGCGGCGCGGCGGACGTGGACGACGGGGACGACGGCGACGTGGCTGCGGATGGGACCCGCACACTCTTTCCCTGAGATATGGGTTCATTACAGCGTGTGCCTGGCGTGCGGACGGTCCGGACGACCAGGACGCGGCCTGGACGCCGGCCAAGGCGGGACGGCACATAGTATTGTAGCGAAATAAATGCATTAGGTACACGCCAGTCATATCGGCCGGTTATTTATCGGCGACGTCGCGGACGCTCCCCTCCTCGCAGTGTGCCGGTGCAGCGCGGCGTATCCGCTGCGATCGACATGGCGGCTTCATTTCGGCGCCGCCGTCGCCTCTCCGAGTGCAGTGTGGCAGCGCGGCAGCGTGGCCGCGTGCGTCTGCGGCCGCGTGTCTCCGGCGTGTCCCTCTCCGGCGTGGTGGCGGCGGCGTGGGCAGGAGAAGAATTGCAGCCGCTTTTTTCCAGGAATGTCGCCTCTCGGGGCTCTCGGGCCTCTGGGACCGGTCGCGTGACGTCACGGGAAGGGGACGACGGCGACGGCAGCGCGGAGACACGGGACGCGCGGTGGGTGTGGCGGCGGAGGCGGCTCTCTCGGTTCCTCCGGCGTTCAAGTCTCCAGCGCGCTGCGTGCGGCTGCCTACCTCGCGGGCGCCGAATCGAGGCGTGGCCGTGCGGCGCTGCCGCCTGCTCAGGTAGCAGGTGTGATTTGTGGCCCCCGGCGGCCGGCCGTCGCCGTGGATGTGTTTCGGCCTCGCCGTCGTCGTCCTCCCCGATTGCGTCGCAGTGCCGGGCCCGGGGCGGCCGGGCCCGGGACGCACGCTGCACGCTGTCCTCCGCAACACTGCTAATGAAGACTATTGCGCCCACAGTGTAGCCGCAGTGTCGTCTGCATTAATTGCAGCATGCCGCCGTTAATGGCGCGCGGCTTCCTGGAAAGCGTTAAGTGGCCTACGCTCTGCAGAGCATGCTGGCTGGGCTGGGCTGGCTCGGCTGGGCTGGTCGGTCACGAGCTTAATTTGGCGTTTAATTTGCTTTCCAGAAGTAACGACGGCTTAACCGGCCAGCCGCTGTAGTTTCATTGTGGGCTCGGAATGCGCGGCCGGGCGACGACAGAGGCGCGAGCGCGAGGCGTTTGGAGGGAAATGTGTCAAGCCGAATTCCAGTGGCCCAGTGGACCAGTGGGCCGGGCAGCCAGCGACCGTCAGCCTCCAGTGTCGTGTGTCGTCTGGACTGGACGGCTGGACACGCCGTTCCGTTACATTTTGGCGAAATCGCGGCTGGCCGGCCCCGACCCCGCCCCGCCAGGCCCCGCCACGCCTCGCGCCTCTCCCTAGCGGCGTATACGTCGTCACAGGGGGGCCCAGTCGGTTGCCAAACCGTTACGGAAACTGTCCCTGCTTAATCCATCCAGAGATGGCCACAGAGTCAAGAAGCAACCTGTTTCTTTCCTTCGATCTTTTTTTTTGTGTCGTCTTTTTGCAAACGAGGCCTTTACGACGGCCCCCCGAGTCCGGGACGAGGCAGGCGAGCTCGAGAAGTGATGCCACTCTTCTCGCCTGTGCTGCAGTGACACACACACACACACTCACACTCACACACTGTCATGAGTTGTCGTCCGAGGCCCTTGATGACCAGCAGGGCACCTCACTCACGGGGAAAGTATCGAGTAGCAGCAGTGCAGCAGTGCAGCAGCCGTCCCCCTTGCGTCACTCCACCCGTCTGTTTTGCCTTCGTCTTCGAACCAAACGCACTTGCGCGGTTAACGCTCCATCCGCCGCAAACGTTACGCAAACCGATAAAAAATAAACAGGAGGCTTCTCTCCTACCCCCTGGCGTCGTGGACAAGCTGCTTAGGTCCACGTCCGGCTGTGCAGTTCGGTTCGCAAGCAGCAGGGCTCGGCCGGGCTCGGTGTGACTAGACAAATGGCGGCCGACGCCGTGCCCCGCGCCCCGCCACGCCGCCACTCCGCCACGCTCCCCACGAGCGGCGGGTATTATATGGAGTACGTGGAAGGGACGCTAAATTATCAGCGCTTCACGTGCCGGGAGGAATTTGTCGTGCGAATAACGTCCGCCCGAGCGGCCTGAACGCGGCGACCGTGCCCCGGTCGGCACACCGGCTCCGTTCGGCTGCTGCGCTGCTTCGACTCGGCAGTGACCACGCAGTGACGCCGACAGCCCTCATCTCGGCGCGCGCTCCGCAATTCTTTCATGCACTTCACGACCTTCTACACGTCTAGAAATTAGACGCGCACGTCGCCCGTGTAATAAAACCAAAAAAAGGGGGGAAAGGCACTCTAATAAACGTTGTATCAATCTTCGTATTAGACAGCGCAAAAAAAGAGGAGAGCAGGGAAGAAAGGAATGAAGAGCGAGGGCCGTCACTTTGTCCGCTCGCTGAGCGCGAGAAACAAAACGTGCTAATCCCCCAAAGCGGCGCCGCGAGCCGCCGAACGCCGCCATCGCCGGCCTCGGGCGGCTTTGCGGCCGTCCTGGCGGCGATGCACTTCTTGGAGCGCGCCGCGCCGCCACAATCGAGTGCCGGCCACGCCAGACACGCCCGCCCTCGCCGTCTGCAGCAGACCCATTCCGAGAGTCGTGTTCGACGCTCCGTCTCTCTCTCTCTCGCACTCATAGGGCGTCCCCTACGGGTGCGAGAGAGACGACGAGAGCGACTCTCCGCGTCGGTCTGCTCGTAATATGGCAGGTGGTGGCGTGGCGGTGCTGCAGGGCCGTCGCCGTGCTGCAGCTCCTCGCCTCAGCCTCAGCCTGCAGCCTGCTCATGCGTCCTATTGTGTTACAGGCGTGTCGGGTGACGACAGCCGCTCCAGCCGGCAGCAGTTCACGCTGCTGCAGCCTGTCTACCAGCACCAGCGCGGCGTGCACGCCAACAGCTTCCTGACCAGCAACGTGGTCAAGTCCGTGCCGACGGTGTGGATCCAGGTGCCCGCCGACCGCGTCTTCCCCACCACGTACCAGGGCTACCCCGGCCAGCCCAGCAACCCCGGCCCCATCATCATCCCCGTGGAGCCGGAGATCCCCTCGGAGGAGCAGAACAAGCCGCCGCCGCCGTCAGGTGGCTACCCTCAGGTACGAGCTGGAAAACCAAAACCATTCAATTTGAAGTAAACTTGTTGTTGACGCGGGAGTATTCACCACACGGTCTCTCTACCTCAGCGCCCCCCAACCAACATCCCCGACGGCCCGGAGCCCCCCCAGCAGCCGCAGCCTCTGCCCGAGCCCCTGCCGGTCCCCGAGAAGCCCGAGAACCCCCTGGCCAAGTACTGCAAGGCGGAGCGCGGCCAGTTCCCCAGCCCCAACGCCTGCAACAAGTTCATCAACTGCTGGGACGGCGACGCGGTGGAGCAGGAGTGCCCCGGCGAGCTGCTCTTCAACCCCGACGCCAAGCCACAGGCCTACTGCGACTTCCCCCAGAACGTCAACTGCGGCGACAGGCCCGGCCCCGCCCGTGAGTACCGGGACCGCCGAGTCCGCCAACGACTACATTCCGCTCGGTCATCGCCGTGGTCCGCCGCGGACCGCCGCTGACTGTGACTGATTGTGCTTCGCTCTCTTCGACAGCCACCCCCTACCCCAGCCCCCTGCCCCCCACGCTGCCCACAGAGCCCCCGACCGGCACCCCTACCCCCACCCCTGGCGAGCCTGAAGGATGCGTCGGCTCGTACAGGGACCCCAAGAAGTGCGGCACCTTCTACGTCTGCGCCAACGGCAAGCCCTACGAGTTCCAGTGTGCTGGCGGCCTTGACTACAACACTGTAAGCACTCATCCTTTGCGCAGCTTTATGGGAGTTTGATAGCCACCGTCAGACGCAGACCCAGACGGTCCTATTTACTGAAACTTTACAATGAAATGACTTTTTTCTCCACAGGAGCTCGGAGTGTGCGACTGGCCCGCAAACGTAGACTGCGGGTACGCCGTGTCCTCGTCGGCCACCCCGGCGCCACCCACTGAGGAGGGCACCGACGGCGGCGACGGCGGCGACGGTGGTGACGGCGGTGACGGTGGTGAAGGCGGCAACGGCGGCAACGGTGGTGACGGCGGCAACGGCGGTGACGGCGGCAACGGAGGCAACGGCGGCAACGGCGGCAACGGCGGCAGCAGTCCTGGTGGCTACCCTGTTCCCGCGCCCGCCCCCGCACCCGCCTACCCCGCTTACCCCAAGCCGCCCCGCCCCCCAGTCGGCTACCCCCAGAGATACTACTACGCCATCAACCAGCCCGGCCAGTACAGTAAGTAGTGCCGCCCGCCCAGCTCGGCCGCGTCGCCGCGTCGCTGCGTTGGCGGTCGAGCCAAAGAGATTCACTGCAAATGCGACCTGTCCCTGTCTGGCTCCGCCAATTACTCACACGACCACCTTGTGTTCGCAGTTCCCTATTGAGCGGCCGCTGCGAGGCTGCGACTGACTCGCCATCTATCGGCGCGCGGAGGCTCGGCCCTGCCTTTCCCCGCCCGGCAGGCCCAAGGGCAGGCCCGCAGCGCCCCCGCCGCTCCTAGATGGACCCTGCCTCCGCCTCGTCGCCGGCACAGCGGCCCGACGCCCTCCGCGCCTTGGGCGCCAAGCGGCACCACGCCGAACGGAGGGCGCGGCCGCCGCTCGGCCGGCCTGCGACGCGGACCCGAAGCAAACTCGATTTGCGTATTGATAAGCTGACAAGGTGCCATTAGATTTACATTTCCCGACTCCCCCGTGTCCGCTGCCCTGCGGTAGCGGTGCCGGAGACTCGCCGCCCTCCGGGAGAGCGTCAGCGAGCTCCCCGGGGGACGGCCTGCCCGAGTCCTGCCCGGCGGCTGCAGAGGACGGCGGCGGACATGGCGTCCGAGGAACTATAGGGAGAGAAGCGGACTGTGCCTGTGTGCGTGTGTGACTGTGACACTGTGCGTGCGTGTGAGCCTGTGTGCGTGTGAGTGCGTAGTTCGTGCTCTACTTAATTGTCTGTATTGTCCATGTGATGCTAACGTAATTTATTCTGGATTCTACTTTCTTTATACGCTAGAGTGAGTTTATGAGCCAAAAGAGAACTTCGTTTATGGAGGAGAATGCAATTGTAGTGAAGCGAGAGCTTTTGTGGAAATAAACTGTTTACTTTAAGTTTGTCTTTCGTTTGAACCCCGAGTCCTGTTGGTCCTGTCGGCCTCTCCACTCCACTGTCAGACGCGTCGCCCTGCGCCCAGGCCGTGCCGCTCCACCGGGACGTCCGTTGGGTTGCCTGCCGTCCGGGCGGAGCGCAAGGCGCACTGCCACGAACATGGCTGCCCTGGAGCGGCGATACCCCGCGGCTCCAGCGAGTCTGCTCTCCGCATAGAAAATAAAAGTGTATGAAACTCGTGCGTACGGAATCTGGTAAATTACGAGCTCTAGCCGACTCCCAGACTCCCAACTACCCACCGGGAAAGCCGCCTGCTTGACCACTCGAGCGGTCGGACGGAAATCTGCAGAGGCAAACCACGGGCACCTCCGTTCGGCAACAAAAGGAAACCCAGTCGCCTTCCTCTCCGCCCGAAGCGGAAACCACCCGGAGAGAGCGGAGAGAGAGACGGAAGGCGTTCCCGTGTGACCCCTCAGCATTATCGGGCGTTATAATGAGCGGGAAGGGGGAAAACTGAATCCACTGGCGCTGAAATGGCAGCCCCCATTGGTTCGGGAATCGAGTCTTTGCGCGATGCTAAGCGGAAAGCGGCGGCTAGGGGTTCCTTGGCGTTTCGAAACGTTTGGAAAGGCGTCGCTAATTGGAAGCCAGAAGTACTTGACTAGAATCCGACCGCTGCGTCCAAGCGGCTACGCCTTGGCTGCGCCTTGGCTCCGCCACCCCGACCCGTCGCCCCGTTGATGTTGATGCAAGCGCCGATCGGACAGGAACTGTGATGGATCTTGCGACACGCAGCGGAACCGTGTGCGCGTGCGAGTGTGTGAGTGCGTGCCCTCATAAATCAATCCAGCCACACCCCTGCAGTCCCTGCAGTCCGCGCAGTCCGTGCCCCTGCACGGCAGCGTGGCGCGCAGCGTGCAGACTAGGGGGCAGCCGGGCTGAGCCAGGCTGGGCTCGGCTAGAGCAGGAAGAATCAATCAGCCGGCCATGGCGGCCGCGCAGTGCAGTGCAGCGAAGGCCAGGCTGGGTCCGAACAGCGCTTTCGTCGCTCTGTCTCTCTCGCACTCTTAGGGCGGGCCGTAGGAGAGCGAGAGAGACAGGGCGACGAAGCCCGGTCGGCAGGCCGGCGCCGCGTTCGGCGGACAGGAGGGCGGTGGCCGCGAACCGCGGCGGGCTGGGCTGCCGGTCAGAGTCATTGACTCGCGCTGCGTGCTGCCGCTGCGTGTTGGCCGCGGCCCGCGTGGCGCGTACGCAAATCAGGTTGCTAGCTGCGCTGCGGCGCTGCCCTGGCCGGCAACCTTTAGCGCCGGCAGCGCGGCACGCGGTCGGGATGGCACATGGCTCGCCTGCTGCGCGCCGCTCGGCGCTGCTGCTGCTTGCGACACGGCCGGCCTGCCGATCTGCTTCGGGCGGAACAGCGGCTCCAGCAGCGTCCCGAAGCACCGCGTCGTCCGTCGCGCCCCGCCCGGCGGCCCTCGCCGGGTGCGGCCAGGACCAGGACCAGGACCAGGAGCCGGGCGGGCCGGGCCGGGGCGGGACGCGCTGCAGCCAGCCCAGCCATGGCCCAACCGACTGCACCGACTGCCGTTTCGACACCAGACTCCACATTATGCCCACCCGTGCCCGCCGTGCCCGCCGCCCTGCAGGCTGCTTCCGAACATCGCGGTCTCTCTCGCACCGCCGCGGAACGGCCCCGAGTGCGAGAGAGACGAAATGACGAAAGCACGGACGCAGCCCGGGGCCACCCTCGGCGCCACCCTCGGCTCGCAGGGCTGGGCCGAATGAATGGGAAGGTGAACGGGGCGACTGGCGGGTCGCGTCGCGGGTTTCGGTTTCGGGTCCGGTGTTTTGTCAATCAGCCACTAACTGCGACTCAAGGCCGCCTTTGCCTGCCTTTGGCGTGCCGACGTGCCGACACTGCGACCCGACCGGTCCGTCTGCCCGTCTGCCCGCCCAGGGCCCGCCGGCCGGCATGCCTGCTCCATTTCGTCAAGTCGAACGAGCCGAGCCCCAAACCGCGACGAGGCACCGGCACGCCGCGGCACGCCGGGGCACGCCACCGCGAGGCGACAGGCGACACTGCCGGACCACAATGATGACACCGCGACACCCCGCCGCACGCGCAGCGCGCAGCACCCCGTCGTGGAGTGGAGGCAATCAAGCATTTGGGTCATGCTGGCGCGCGCCGCCGACGGAAGGCTTCGTTTCGGCAGGTGTGCCCGGGTGTACCCGCCGACCGGAAACCCCTCGGCCGTCTCGGCGAACTTGGAGCGGGCAGGCCGAGGCGGCCGAGGCAGGCAGTCCCGGATGCGATGCACCCCGGCCCCGTAACCACGGTCACCGGGGCGCGGCCGCAGGTCGCACGCCGGCCGCGGGTTAGGTTAGCCAGACTGTGCTCTCGGGCGGCCCCTGCACGCCGGGTGTTATGTTTGGGGTTCCCCTGTAGACAGTGGCGGGGCCGAAGACGAGTCCAGCGAGTGAGGGGACGGGACGGGCCTTACGCAAGCCGCGCCTTCTGATCGGCAGCATTCCGACCCAGAACCCAGAACGCAGGCCACATGCCCACGCCACCCGCGGCTGGGGCTGGGGCTGGGGCGGTCCCGCTGCCGCCCGGTTAGGACATACCCCGCGTGTTCGGGGCCGCCCGGTGTCGACGCGGGGTATGTCCGCGACGCTCCGGGACGGGCAGCTGCTCCTCGCGGCCCGCGGGTCCCGCGCCGTGCGGGGTATCCACGACGGCCCGGCCGCGCCGTCGCCGAGTCCGTCCGCATCCGGGGTCCAGGACGCCGTCGACGGGGCTTCGGCGTGCTTCGGCGTGCTTCGCCTTCCCCGGCGAGCGTGACGACGCGGTTTGCAGTGTGAGGGAAAAATGCGGTGCGTCACATAATAAGGCTCGCCGCCAAAAAGGTGAATGAAAGGAGGACCGCGAGTGGACCAGTTTCCGGCCAATCAGCGGCAAGAATGGCCCGAATGGCCCGTATGGCGGCGCGGACGTGGAGCGTGGAGCCGTGGCCACGGGCCGGGGGGCTGGGCTGCTGGGCTGCTGGCTGGCCCGCCGCGCCCGCCTCGCCCGCCTCGTTGCATTCGCTTACTTGTGCAATACTCTACACACGCCGGCCGCCCCGCCGAGCCCCGCCGAGCCCCGCCGAGCCCCGCCGCCGGGCTGGTTCCGCAGACTGGCTGCAGCAGGATTCCGGGGTGAAAGGAATTAAGAGAGAAGGCGGAGAGGGAGGCGGAGGGGTGTCCGTGCCGTCAAGGTCCGACACGGGGAGCTCGAGGTGCACGAGGAGCACGAGGTGCGGTCCACAATGGTCAAAAGAGACTGTGCTCGGTGTGACATAAGGGGATGGGGGAGGGGGCCCGGGCGACCGGCGAGTGACAAGCACTATGAAGTGGACTGAGTTAGAGACGTGTTGGTGCCCCTCCCTGTCGTCGCGTCGTTCAGAGCACGCCGTCCTTCGCTCCGAGCTCCGCGTCGGCGCCTGACTCACTGCAGAGCTTACGCGCTGCCCCACCCGGCCCCGCCCTGCTACACCCAAAGTGCCCCCCTCCCCAGCCCCCGGCCTGCGCGGCGCGAGTCTGCTGGCTCGAACCGTTTTACTCCACAAATCGCAACCGGAAACACGTTAGCCAGGAATGCAGTGGGCGCCGGGGAGGGGGTCCACCGGGTCCACGCATCGCGGAAGGCGACGTCTGTTTATCGCGGTGGTGCAGCGCGGCGCCCAGGCGAGCGGCCCGGATCTGGCTCGCCGGGGTGCTGGCCGACGCGACGCGTCACGACGTCACGACGGCCTGCATGGCGGCCTGCATGGCGGCCTGCATGGCGGCCAGCGCCACCGCCCCTTCCGGAACAGAGCACGCCGTCGTCGCGGGCGTCACCGAGGCCAGGCCGGCCAGGCCGGCGGCCGGAACCCACGCGGCGGCGCGGCGCCGTGGCCGTGCGGCGCCGACGTGCAGCCTGAGGTCACGCAGCGCTAGTCCGTTACCGTTCCGTTAACGCAGCCGCTACGAGGTGTGGGGTGTGACCTCACAGGTGTGACGCCACGTGACGTCACGCCAGTCGTCACGCGCACGGCCCGCTTCAGCTGCTGCAGCGCCCCCTGAGCACTGCGTCCTAGGGTGGCTCCCGCGCCGCCGCCCGCGCCGCCAACGTGACAACTTAAATGGCGAACTTGAAACGCGAGGAATCGGCGGGCGCCACGCCCCGCACCGTGGCGTTGCTGGCCGCGCAGGCCGTGCAGGCCGTGTTGCACTTGTCAGGCGATAGCGATCAATTTATGGCCGCGGCATGGAGTCCGGACCGCTAACCTTTTGTTATTCTGGCCGACAGCGCGGCGGAGAGTCGTTGTCGTCGCTCTGTCTCTGTCGCACTCTCGCGGAGTCCCGCTCAGGTGTGAGAGAGACAGAGCGATCGGGCTAGGCCGGCACTGCGCGGTGCATGTGCGTGGCTCCGTCACCGCCTCGCCGCGCGCTGCCAGTGGCGTGCCAGTGGCGTGCCACGGCCCGGCCGGACGATAACGCCATTTTCTAATGGTTCCGCCGGGAATATTCAACGCGCTGCCCTGGCCGTCTGGCCACTATCGGCCGTCTTTTCAGGCGCCCCGCGTAGCCGCCGCGCCGCCGCGTCGGTGGGCGCTGCAGCGCTGCAGTTGGCAACCGCGTATCCGGGCCGCAACAACGGCAACGGCTAGCAACGGCCAGCAACGGCCAGCAACGGCCAAGGGACGGGCAAGCCTGCCAACCCCTGCCACTTCCTGCTCCGCGCGGGACGCGGGACGTGTCAAATGCTGCTTTGTGTGCCTCCGCGTCTGGTACTGGTGCAGTGCGGCGCCCGGACGCGCCTCGCCGCCAAGGTGGTCGAGGTGGTCGACCTCCCGGTTACACTACTCATGACGGCTGGCAGGGCGGCTGGCGGGGCGGCCAACTGCCGAGAGGGAAAGCACGCGTCTCGCGTCATCGAGATGAAGCGGTGCCGTGCCGCCGTGCCGCTCTCCGCGGCGAC